TTATTTAAAGAAAATTAAATTCATTTTATTTGAATCAATAAATTGTTAATATTTACATCTTAATTTATTTATAAATTATAAATTAAAAAATTTATTTTTAATATTCACATTTCAAATAACAATTCGTCCCCTTCGATTATGGTAGAACCCTCAAATCACCCCTTGACAAATATGGGTAAGGACGGATCCACCCTTCAAAAAAAAGCAGGGACAAATGACATCTTAAAAGTATCGATTTACCAAAATCGATCATTATCTAACTGATGACGTCATCACCGTCACGATCTCCGTTTAGCCCGTGCCAGCATGTCCTTTTTTTACACGATGGATGCTGATGTGTGCAAATATGGGTAGGGACGAATTGGGAACCATGATCGACATCTGGCGAAGAAAAGAGTTTTGGGTCCTTTCCTTGTTGCTGTTTCTGAGGCTTGTTTGAGCATTAAAAAAAAAAATCTGAAGCTTATTCATGGCGGAGAGTCTGGATGACGGCGAGTTTTTACTGCCTTCTCAATTGCTAACAGACGACGACGTCGTGCTTACGCACCTGGGGTCTGGTGTTTCCAAGTCTCTGTTTCCCTTTGAGTTTCCGTATCGTTTTGGGTCTTTTGGGTTGTCTTCGAATCTCGGCTCTCCGATTGAGTCTGTTTTCGGTTCCACTAAGACTGAGAGCGACGAAGAGGAGCATCTTTCTGGGTTGACTCGTCAAATGGCTCGCTCGACTCTCCAAGACAATTGGGGGCAAAACGAGCGCGCATTCGCTACTGAAAACAACAAGGTTTGTTCAATACTTGGTTTGTAGTTAATTGAATAAGCTCTGATTTGGAATTTTTGCTTATGGTGGTTTGTTTATTCAATTGCAGGGTTTGCTGCTTTCTGGGTCACCTCAATTGACGCTGTGTGCGGTAGGGAGTAGCTGTGGGTGTAGGCAGTGGTCTACCCGTGGTAGCCCCAAGCGTCAATCGGTACTCCCTTCGTCGCCAAGAACTTGGGATCTGCTACATGCGGCTACGGTGGAAGTTACAAGGATGCAAGGTAAGGAAGAACCATTCAACCATGAAAGAAGCCTCCTCGCTCCCCCAAAGAAACCTCCCACAAATCTTGACGTTGGTGGGTTTTACTTATCCCACTCACTTTCTCACAAGAAGTTGCAGTCTACTCAGGCAAGCACAAACAGAAAATACTCCATTTGTTCAATGAAAGATTGTGCTTCTTTTTTTGGTTAGTCGCCATTAATTGGGTGGTTTTTGTCTTTTGCTACAGTTTCCGCAACTGAAACACGAGCAACAGATAATGAGACAACAAAGTGCATCGGCATGGGCGGTTCTAAAGCAACAGCCCCATGTGGCCCAATTTGTTGGCAGCAGGTCTTCTAGTAGCACTAGGCCTCTGGGCTTGTTGCCATCTGAATGGCCTCCTTCGCAGTAGTCACTGTCTCACAACATGTCGGGTATGTGGGTCGGGTTTCCGGGTAATCCCGTTGGCAAAAGGAAATGTGCTGGTACTGGTGTTTTCCTGCCTCGCAGAGTTGGTTCCACAACCGAAACCCGCAAGAAGCCAGGTCCATACTTCATACTCCTATGCCTTTTCAAGGTCTGGGTTGGTCTTTATTTGTTCCTTTACCTTGGATTGTGAAAGCAATGTTGATATCCATGTTTCTTCTTCACAGAGTGCTGCACGATCGTACTTCAAGGGAAAGTCATGCAGGCGTTGAACTTGAATCTAGATGAAATTGGTCCTCAGATTTTTTTTTTTTTTTTTAATGTTGATGTCTTTTCTTCACTAGATGTCGATCATGGTTCCCAATTCGTCCCTACCCATATTTGTACACATCAACATTCAGTGTGGAAAAAAAGGACATGCTGGCACGGGCTAAACGGAGATCATGACAGTAATGACATCATCAATTAGATAATAATCGATTTGGATAAATTGATACTTTTAAGGTGTAATTTATCCCATTTTTTTTTTTTAAGGGTGAATCCACCCCTATTCATATTTATCAAGAGGTGATTTGAGGTCTCTGCGTTCGGTTATTTTCTGGCTCCGTCCTAGTTCAAATCACTTTGGGCGATGTAGTCTGAGACGCAGGTGCCCTTACTGACACAATTTGGAATGGAATAGCCACCGAATAGGCATTCAGACTTTACTCTTACAAGGCCTAGACTGCAACCTGCAGGGATTTATTTTACTACAGCTGGAACTGGCAACTGCTCTACCTACGGACTGATTTGATTTTGAGTTGACAAGTAAGTACGCTATCTTTTCATTGTACAAGAAATAACATCCCATCTACGGCCATGGTTATGGCCAAAAATAACAATGTTTGAGCCATTAAATTTATAAAATATTATGATTAAATTT